AAAAAAAACGCGATTTGTGACATTTGACATCTTAAGATGGGAACGCGAGATTTTCTAAGACTCTTGAGACCACTTTTAGAAGGGCAAAATAAATATTTATACGAGTTTACACCTTTTTATCTCTCATTGGTGACGCCCCTAATAAGATTGAATAGTAAATTTTTGTTGCACGGATTCTCGCACAGATTGTGTCGCCACTCGTTCTAAAATATGATCCAGTTACAACCGCCAAATTCAGCAGCAAAATCAGTCGTAAAGCTTCCACAGCAAAAAATCATCTGCCACTTTTCCAAATGTTCGGATGTATTTGATGTTTCCACTACTGGAGTACAACATAGTAGTAGATATTCGCGTAAGGGTATAGAGAGAGCAATTTAGAAGGTTTTATACTGATAGATATTTTTAGTTTATCCCAAAGAGTTATCCAGCAATTCACTACAATACTACTATTTAAGCATTTATTATGTTTAGCTGACTAGGTATGTGCTACTGTCTACTATAATTTGTTATCCATCGAATGAGAATAGTGTGCATGTGTCATTAAAATAGTGAACTTCAGAAACCCCGACAAATGCATTAAATCTTATACTAGTATACTAACCGTTCTTACGACTGTTAAAGGTAAATATCACATGCTTTCAATTCTTAAGTTTTACAAATCTAATAAAATGAACCTGGTTGTGTTTGAGAAGGTAGTGCCGTGTAGTTGATTTTTTGCCTTTGCTTTCATACAATACCAAGTATTTTCGCATCAACCGGAGACATCATCCTATAATTCCGATTAAACTTACCAAATGAGTGTTCGCAAAAAATAGAGCAACAATTAAACAGTGTAAAATCTATCATCGGCTGAATTATGGTTAGCGCATATCTCAAATATTCCATTTCTTATTTTAAAATGAATATCAGAATATCATTTTTTCTTTAAGAAACCTTCTGATTGCTATTTTATACAATTTCAAAGTTGCATTTTGGGTGGAATTAGACACTGCTTTATAAGCTGGTTTTTTCTTGTTTACACAAAAGAATGTTCAACGTTATATGAATATAACATAAACTGTATACTGTGACTCTGTTCATCGCAACAATGCAAAATATTCTCATCACTATACCACCATCACTATAATAATTTCTGCATCTAGTTGCGATGTTGCCAAATCATGGATAGTAATATACCTTGATTTGGTTTGTCAAATTCTGACTTACATACTAGCGCAAAAGTGCAATCGGCACAGGATTCTCATGAAAATGCGATTTGGAGGTGTGGCCAGCAGGTTTTACTGTACTAAATCTACCTCATGTCCTACGATAGCGTTAGCTAAATACACTTTTGTGAAGAATGCCGTATGCCTTTCTCAAAAATACTTCGGTTATTGTTTTTCCTATTTTATAGTTATAATCTATTTACTTTTTGTTTGTATGTACTTGAATTGTGAAGTGTACATGAGAAATTACTGAAAAAGTAGCTACTACCAGTCAATAAATAATGAAAACATAGCAAAGAAGAATATGCAAGTTTTTTGATGATTTGATGAAATGGTCGTTGATCTTTATTTAACTATAATGTTTGAAGATATGTTGGGTATTTTTATATGCAATATGCTTTTTGTATTTTTCAAGTCACGTGAGCCGGTGGTGCATTTTCCACTGTTTAAACACGTACTGTTCAAAATTTCATCTAATTTTCAGTAAATATTGGGATAACTTCTTATAAAACAAGCCATTTACAATAAATTAATACTTTTCTTTTACAAATAACCTCATTTTTTATTACGTATTTCTCCCAAAAAAATGGACATCATTTATCTTATCTGTCAAGAAATGAACGTTACAAAATGGTCATTGAGAATTATTTGTACTTTCAAATATTCCTTATAAACGCAAAATCTTAGAGATCTCATTGAAAATACGCGAAACAAAATGGTTAAGGAATTTCAAGAAGACATTAAAAAATCTCAACACAATACCTCTACACAGTTGACCAAGTAAATACCATCATTTACGGTATGTATTTTGAACTGTTATTTTAGCTTACTGCACGGCTAGTTTTGAACATTTTTTTTTTGAAAAAACCAGCGTATAAAATAGTATTCCATTCTAGAGTACTACCACCAGAAATGCAACTTTGAAGTTCTATCAAATGGGAAGCAGAGGGTTCCTTTAAGAAAAAATGATATTTTCGTAAAAGTTACACCCTCTTGTTCATTTTAAAATAAGAAATGAAATATTTGCGATTTACCCAACATCGTCTCAGTCATATATGAGTAAAGAAGACTCCATGCCATCGTTGGTTTTTCTAGAATGGTCTGAATTTAAACGGAATACAACTGTATGGATACTAACTGTTCATATGAAACAAATTTCTTCAGTATAAATAATGCAAAATGTGTAGATTGTTTTCTTTTTTTAATTTTTTATTATCCGATGAAGTTGCTCGATTTTCAGCAAAGCAACTCTTGTGAATTCGTATCAAGTTACGAATCTCCGTATAGGAAACTCAACGTTTCGTTCTCTAGATATAAATACTACTGGTGAGACCCAAATTCTATTCTACTCCATTGCCAGTGAAACTACACCCCAACTAATTTTTACTCCAAACACTAGATTCGAACCATCTGTTACAGGGTGAGCAAGAAAGTAGAAAATGTGCTTTTTTACTATACATATGATATATTACAGATTTTAGAAGAATTGTGCCTAATAATGTATGAATACGATTATTTTCTTATACCGAATATTTTCTGTAGCTAGAACATACTGAAGAAATGAAAAAAATCCGGTCCACCTTTCAGTCTAACAACATAATATGGATACCACGGGAACATTCCTGATTCCGGTCAATTTATTTATTTTCATATACACGGTCTTTCAAATTCGCCCCTCACCATTGGGATCTCACAAACGGTGACATACGAAGTCGCTTAAATGGGGGCAAAGCTTCGTATTTAGGTAATTGTCAAAATGCCGCTTAGGGTTTCAAAATTCAAAGTACTTCCGGAGAAAGGACGGAAAACAGAATTTTTCCAAAATCGTTTTAGTTTTTCCTGACCTCATTTGTAGTGGGATTTAAAAATCAATTGCACATTAAGATTGCCATTTTTTTTTTCTCGACAAGATGGCATAATCAGAACTTCATTATGACGTTTCGTCTATTGTCTTCCGGCATCAACTGCATTTTTGTCTATGAACGCCATATTAGATTCTTGCACTGATGAATAGAGTTCTTAATTCTGATTCCCAAAACGTATAACGTGTCATACACTGACATCCTCAAGTCTTAGTTACTCCAAAAAACAGAACTTCCAAGGTAGGCTTTGAAATTCTCAGATAGTCATTTGTTTCATATACCAGATTTATCACAAAATCATTTTATGTTTCCCTGAGTTTATTTGAGATGCGATTTCGAAATAGATTTCATGTTGTCATTGCCACTTTTTCTCCTTTACAGATGAGGTTCGAGGTTTCTGCTTTAGACCTCCATCACCAACTTTGTTTTCTCATATGGACGCTGTATTAAAATTATGTACATTTAAATACTACTAAAAATGATATTACTTCAATTAAATATGTGAAGTTTATCGTTACGTAAATAAGTGAACTACAGGGTTAGTAGAAAAAACCGGAACGGTGGATTATCTCAGCAACCGTCAAATATAAATTAATCAAATTGGGTGTAACTCAATATGAAGAATTCAAAAATTATATTTGCAAGGTTGCCACGTTTATAGTTTTCTCTCTAGATTAGGGAACTTTAAAATTTGAACTGGAATACTCATTTTTATTATTGTAATCAATAGCTTGTATCAACTTCAGAATAAGAAATTGTGTTCGACTTCGCAAGACCAATAAAAAAAAAACAAAGTTGATGGTGGATATTGAATGCAGAAACGTTCAATTGAGAATTTGACTAACGACTCTTGTAGAGGGAAAAAAGTGTAAATTAATATGCAATTTATTTTAAATCCTATTTCAAATAAAACCACGAAATAAACAACGATTTTTCAATAAATCCGGTATACGAAACAAACGGCTTTCTGATAATTTCAAAGGCTACCTAGGAAATTTATTTTTTTTGAAGTAACTGAGGTTTGGCATTGTCCATATATGACATATATAAATTAAATAAGATAGGCGACGAACCAATTAATTTTTTTATTGAGATGTTAAAGGTTATACAGCAAAATATAGAATGGTCTATGAATGAATCGGTATCTTGAAGGAATTTGTTATGATGGGAAAGTGTACCCAGATATCATTGACATCGTAATTAACAAGAACTACTCATACGAAAAGTAAATACCTGGAATATACAAGAATAAGAAGTACTGGAATCTGAATTAAAAACTTTATTCATGTATGAAAAAATCCATAAGAAAAAATAAAGTCGATACCGGAGGGCAAGAAATGAAGCGTCATATTGAAATTGAAAAAGTCAAAATGTCAATTTGCAATTTATTTTGAAGTCCCACTGCAAATAATCATGAAAAAAATAAAACTATTTTGGGAAAATTCGGCTTTTCCCGTCTCTCTATGGATATAATTTCCACTTCAAAACTTTCTTGTCAGTTACCTAAAAACGCTACTTTGCCCCCATTTAAGCCACTTTGTATCTCTTACCGTTTCCGAGATTCAAGTGGTGAGGGTCGAATTTGAAATACCCGGTATATAGCGGTTATATTCGTTGGTTCGTTAAAGTTCGAGTCAATGAGTACTTTGGGCTCCAATATCTGAGGGCCATAACCGTTCTCTTCACGCCCTAGATAGATAAATATCTATTAATATACCACGTGTGTTTATCAATCCTGTTAGTGAATATCTCTGTGTAGCTCTAGGTAACTGAAAAATCTAAGAATTTTTATTTTGGATGAAAACAATATCCCAATAAGCATTCTTAACCTTCACATTTTCCTTCAACTAACATAAATGCATGCGCTATGAAATTCAAATTCTGACAACTTTACATGTGAAGAGACATGAGTGTATAATAATTTTTCACGCAGTTAAACTCGAAGTTCAGATACGCTAGTGCTTGGAGTAAAACAGACATCTACACCGCCCGCTAGAACAGCACAACTAAAAGCCATCATCAAGCAGAAGCGAAGAGAAACGAAATAAAAACAAGCTGCCACTTACTGCTCGACCGTGCTTGGGGGGGTGTCGTGCCATTTCGACAGAGCGCAACTAAACGAAAACAAACACCTTGCGTTGCGTCCGTCTGTCACTTGTCACATCGATCGTCCTAGTCGCGCCTGAAGAAATTCCATATGCTGGAAGCTGTTTTCGATCGTACCTTTTCAGCGCTGGCCGTCGACGTTGTCACTGATGCCTGCGCGTGCGCGTTCCTGCCCAGAGAGTCTGCGCTACGTAGCTTGCCGCTCAGCGAGTCCTTGGCCGTGACCAAGGAGCCGTTCCTCGACTTTGGTAGGCTGCTGGAGGAGTCCGCTTGCGCCGGCCCGGTCCTGGAGTGCCGCCACGATTGGGCAGAGTGGGGCCGGTCGCCGCTGCGGCTGCGCGGACCGGCTGGACTGTGTTTACCTGTCAGCAACAAAGCGCCCTCTATGTACGGTACTAGTCTATGCGTGTGGTGGTGTGTATTAAGCGGGAAATCGGTACAGAGAAATGATTGTGCATTATTGACGTATTCATGAGAAATAATACCATAATAAATGTCTTTATTCGACAACAACAGAAAAAATAAAACTTGAAATTAAAAAAGGGCGTTTGGTGAAGGGCGAAGTTGAGCTGCACATCTCTCCTTCTACTTAACCCTTTAAATCATGTGACATTCTAAGTAACCATAACCAAATGACTACCCTGATAATAATTCCATTATATTATTTATACACTTTGCTTGGTGGATAAAACTTGCTTGACATAGCTCTTGAGTTTTAAAATATATTTAATTTGTTAATTTCGGTTGGGAAACCGATGTACACACTTTGAATGTAACAGGTAAAGCCTCGCTTAAAAAAATCATGTTGAAATCTTGGAGGAGACAATACTCGTAGACCCTTAAGGTGGCACGTCTCTTTTTTTAGATTTCTTTTCAACCTCCTGTCTGCAGCCTTTTCATCTGATAATTCCATGGTGTGTTTAGAGATGACTAAAAAAAACAATGTTTCATTTTTTTTTTTGTCAAATAATGCATTTCTTGTTCATTTTGTTGTGCAATTTTTCTACAATCGGAACTTGTTATCAAATATAAGTACAGCTGTGAAATGGTGTGTGAATTTCCTATTTTATGGAAGAATCAACAGTGATTACTTTGTTCTTATCACTTTCCTTTTCGAAAAATCTTCGATTTTTTTGAAGCCTCGTCTCGTAGCAAGTTGAGTTTTCAAGGAAAGCAAAAATGTTTGGAAAAATAAAAGTGATAAGAACAAAAGTAATCACTCGCTTCATTCTTCCATAAAAGGGGAATATTCACACACAATTTCAGAGCTGTAATTATATTTGTTAACAAGTTCTGATTGAAGAAAAAATGAACAAAAATGCATTTTTTGACAAAAAATAAAATGAAAACAACGTCTTTTAGTCATATCTATACACACCATGAAATTATCAGATGAAAAGGATTTAGAAATACTGCTGCAAAGAGCAAGTTGTGAAAAAATCTAAAAAAAGGGACATGCCACCTTAAATCTAACATTTAAAGTATGTACTTTGGTGCGAGATCTTATTCTATTATAAACATATATCGGTTATTTTGCAATAATTACTTGTGATATAAACAAGCTGCATGGAGTAGCCTTCTATTATACATATTTAGCTACCCTGCATCATACGATTTGTGAGTGAGTTTGGTCCACGGATACCATAACTTAGCCTCAAACAAGAACTTTGTATCTTTTGTTCACAGCATCGGAATGGAGTAAAATTGAAAGAACTAGACTGTAACAAGAATTATTTTAGTTTTTTTTTTATTTATTTTATTAATCAGTTTCAAATCAGCGTATGTTTTCGCTAGTATGCGATTTAAATCTTAATTCGTAATCAAGCAAAACTCCAAGGCTTTTAGCTGGTTTGATAAAGGTCCATATCCCCAATTCGTATAACAATCTCTGATTTTACATATTTTTGTACCTCATGACCAAATAACAACATTTTTGATTTATCTGCATTATTTACCAAACAGTGCACTCTAGCCGCGTTTATAAAGTAAATGAGGTCGATGTTTAATTTGTTAAAAGCTGTCCGTACTTCTACTCTTTTGAACGATAAATACACCTGCGTATCGTTAGCATAGCGATGCAGTTGAGCATGTTTCAAAGTAACAGCTAACTGACTCGTATACAGGGCGTTCATTTGAAAAATTCCCACCACGGATTTATCGAAGACCACGAATGACCCTGGGAGGCCAAGGGTGAAAGGGGGTGTGATAGTTTTTGGTTAAAAAGCTGTCCCCCTTGACAAATCTTTTGACGTGACTCGGTGTTTTTTCTTTTAATCAGTGGTTTTCGATAAAACCGCGGTGAGAAGTTTTATATAATAACCACCAAAGAACCTAACATGGAACTTTGAGCTATTCCGGATGTAATAATCAGATACATCTTATTGAATAGTGCTTTTCTAAAAGCCCCGCTTACTTAATTTTTTGAACTGGTCCAGTTCGAGAGATGAAAATGGGGATAATAAAATTGAGGCATTAACGCCGTAAAATTTGTAATTGAATTTCAAAATGGCGGGTAAAAACTGTCTTAGACATTTTTTTTAAATAGAACTGGGTGCAAGGTGATATTTCATTATGAAGCTCCTTAGGAGTGCTTTATACAAATTTACTATAATTCAAAATGGCGGACTGCCAAAATAGAGAATTTTTGTACCGGGAGAGTCAATAATAAAAGACACCGGCTGAATCTCAGCAACCGCTCAACTATCGATTAAAAAAATTTCATGATAAATGAAGGCCAGAAGAATTGCAGGAAATTATTTTCAGCTTCCTGATTTCCTTTTTTGTAGAATGCCCAGTTTTCGAAATATTAAGTTGAGGTCATTAAAGTGGGACACTATGTATAGATAGCATGCAAAAAAATTGCTGGAAATTATTTTCAGGTTCCTAAAACCGCCGCTAGGAATTGTCATTCCTATTTCAAAAATGCAAACGCCATTATTTTACAAAAATTCATAGTTAACATATTAAATAGAATTGCTCAATTTCCGAGCATTTTTGTTCACGTCGTTTTCGCATATTTTGGCTGATGGAGGATTAAAAGTTACATAACTTCTGTTTGACTGCACCGATTTTCGTTTGAAAGAGTATTGACCTGCGACCCCCAATGATCTTTTTTTATTTTTCAAATATTTCAAATACAATGATATAATTTTTTTAATGATCGGAAAGTGCATAAGTCCATAGACCCATATCTTTATTTGTTATGGAGATATATTGAGAAATAGGCTTGAACTACAATTTTCAAGTATGTACCAATATGACCCGATTTTAAAATATTTTACTGTAAAATTTATTCTTGCGCTTTTTCGTAACCGCTAGGGAACGTACCGTATTCTTGCTTCAATTATATTTTATCTCAGTTGTCTTTGAAATATACTAAGTGACATATAAATCCGAACACCCAGTTTAAATGGTTTTATTTTAATACAAGTTGGTGAATGTATTTATCTTACTGTAAATAACAAGTGAAAAAATTTCATACCGGCCACACTGGATCCTCCCTTTAACTCGAGAACACCGACGTAATCGCCTTGAGTGGTGCAGACAACGGTCACTCTGGGATCAGGAATGGAACAGTATTGTCTTTAGTGACGAGTCTCGATTTTGTTTAGGCCTGCACGATGCTCGTGCCAGGGTTAGAAGGCGACGTGGTGAAAGGAGGAATCCACAGTTTTTTGTTGAAAGACATGTTCATCACACTGTTGGAGTTATGGTTTGGGGTGCTATAGCTTATGGTTCCAGGTCACCTTTAATCTTCATCAGAGGTAACATGAACGCGCAGCGTTATATCCACGAAGTTCTAGAACCCCACCTTTTACCCTATCTTGACACCCTGACAGATCCAACTTTCCAACAAGATAATGCCCGACCACATGTTGCAAGAGTCACAATAGACTTCTTTCAACATAATGATGTCACATTGTTACCATGGCCACCAAGATCTCCCGACTTATCCCCAATTGAGCACGTGTGGGATATGATGGGTAGGAGATTGCTCAATTTGCAACGTCCTCCTCAGACTCTAGAAGCACTTCGAGAGGAGTTGGGGGTTGTCTGGAATGAGATACCACAGGAGGACATTGACCACCTGATCAGAAGCATGCCTAGGCGCGTTGGAGAATGCGTAGCACATCAGGGTGCATCCACACATTATTAAAGGTCAAAGGGCTTTAAAGCAGTGCAATCATTTTGAAATTTTTATCATTTACTTATTATGCTTCATTAAGTACTTATACAAATTTTTTTTAAAATAAAACCATTTAAACTGGGTGTTCGGATTTATATGTCACTTAGTAAACAATTCAGAAAATACCGGGTTTCTACCTCTTTGTGATACTTAAATCCACTAAGGGTGCCAATAATGATATTGGTGTTACATCCGTAAAACATTAAAGCATTTAAAAGAGCGGATTAATGGAATCTAGTGTGTCTTGACATTCTGGGTCAGAAACAATAGAATAAACTAAAATGAATTAGTGCAACGTAAAATATTTAATGATAAATGAATAAATGAAACATAGCTTAATTGGATCCCATTATGCAATACGTAACCAACCGACAAACGTTGAAAATGAGATTGCAACTTCATGTGAACTTTTTATATCTAGCGATAGGCAAAAGATCTGTTATGTTATTATATAAATGCTCTGGTTCCATATTCATATACCGTGGTTTATTGTGTGAATACAATGATGAAGCAACAATGATAATTTTTGTTAGAAACTCTTGAGATTTGGTCAACTTAAAACATTTATTAAAAATACGACGTTTCGGCTACTTCAAACGTCATCTTCAAGTACACGTGTTTTCAGAATAGTTGGTAAAAATAGTCTGCCATATGGATGTTGGTAGTTTGGTCAGATCAGATATACAGGGTGGGCGATTTAAATCTTAAATTTCCCGGAAACGGGGGGCGCGGGTTTGGGAGGGATAAGCTGTTAGCCGCGCCGTTGCCTGGAAATTTAGTCGCCATGGAGCGCAGCGTGAATTTGTGTGTCCGAGCGTATTATGAAAACAATAAATCGGTTATTACTGCACGGCGTTTGTATCGACATTAACACGGTTTACGCGATTTAAGAGAAGTTACAAGCGGCAATGTGATACGGAAGTGGATCAGAATGTTGGAAGCAACCGGCTCGACAGTAGCACTAAAAGCTCGTGGTCGTACAGTTTCTGCAAGATCAGCCGACAAGGTAGAGCGTGTTCGCGTTTCAGCTCAGCGAAATCCGCAACAGTAAACACGTAAGTGAAGGCAGGCTTTGGACATCAAAAGAACGAGCTTGTGGAGAATTTCGAAGCTTGATTTGCATTTGAAGGCTTATAAGATTCAACTAGTCCAATAATTAAAACCAGATGATGCCGACTTAACTTTGTCAATTCGATACTCGACCGCTTCAACGTGATGTTTAGTGATGAGGCCAATTTTCACCTTAATGGCCATATTAACAAACTAAACTAGTCGTGTGGGCTGGAATTACGTCGACCGGTATTATTGGACCGTACTTTTTTGAGGACGAAAGATGGCAAGCGATGACAGTTAAAGCTAACAATTATTGCACTTTTTGGTGCCAGCTTTGCATGAACTTCAAGGCAATACCTCTAGAATGTGGTTTCATAAAGATGGGGCCACATGTCATACAGCTAGGGTATCTATAAAACTGCTGAAAAATCTCTTTCCCGGAGAGCTCATGTCGAAACGGGGGGATATTGAATGGCCACCACGTATCCCAGATCTTTCTCCATGCGACTATTTCCTATGGGGCTACCTCAAATCGGTGGTCTACGAAAATAATACAACTAATTTAGAGCAGCTGAAGAGGAATATTGTTCAAGAAAGTAACAACATACCGAGTTTTCCAAAATCTGCAGCTCCGGTTTTCAAGAGTGCCAGGAAGTCGTTTGAACAACATTATTTTTAAGTCTTAAAATTTCCTATCTACATTTTAAAAATACATTTATTTTCTTTAATATTGCGTAGTTATTTTTTAATTGTATATTGCAATTGCCAAACATTTATGGCCCACCCTGTACTATGTGATGACAAACTATTGATAAGCTGATGAAATGAACATTTTTCAAAAGACCCCGCTGGAATATATACAGGGTGACTTCGAAGTTGAGTCATTTATTTTAACAGTGAGTAGATCTGATCAAAAGAAATGTTTTTTCCTTTACCATTTTTCTGGTAAAATTAAAGTAACAAAGTTATAGCCCTTTGGAAGTTTGAGTACCGCCCTGTCTCAATAATAATATTATGTGCTCGTGTTTGGCGACAACGGATATAATTCGCCTTATCGGTTCATCGCATCGGAAACAAAAAAGCGAAAGAATTTGGAACGATGTTTTTACAATTATTACATTCAGTTGTATACAGTCAGTGTCAGTCGGTAGTGGATAGTGGTGTCTGTTGCGTGGCTCAAACGAAATAAAAAAATGGGACATGTTTATGCGGATCGGTTTCCCAATCGAGTGCAACCAACCCCTCGTGCCTTTGTTAATGTAGTACAACGGGTTCGTGAATCATTTGACTTAAGACCTCACATATGGACGGCATGCCGGTGCTCCAAGACCTCACGAGATCAAATACAGGTCCGCACTGAAATACTTGTCGGGATGATACTTTATAAAACAAGGTAATTTTTTTTTTTATTTTTACACACATATTTTGGTTTATCTTCCTTCTACAATCATTATCTGAAAATTAATGACTCAACTTCAAAGTATAATTATGAATGGAACATGTTCTGAGTTAGTCTACCTGACTCCAAGTTTCACTTACTAACCGCTAATGCCCTTAAATATTTTACGATTTCTTATTGTTCAGACTATTAGTAGCAGCATTCTCATGTATACGTCAAATTGTGCTTAAAGTGTGAGTCTATAAACGCTTTGTGATCGTGTAATAAACTTTACATTCTCCCACTTACCGGATGACTGTTGGTACTAATAAAACACTTAAAATATTTCAATGGAACAAACACATACAGGGTGTTTATTTGAAAGCACCCACCGTGGAGACACGTCAACAGATTTTTCAAGGGGGACAACATTTCATTTTTACCAAAAACTACTTCACCCCTTTTCAAACTCTGCCTCCCAGGGTCATTCCCTTAGAAATTTTAAATGACAAGGGTTATCGAGTAATAGCTCGTTTGAAAGGCCTTCCAAAGTGCTTTATTTTGACGTCGATTCGTTTTCGAGAAAATTAGAAAAATATTTATCTATGTTAATTTGTTCAGATAGAAAACAAAAACACACGAAAATATCACTTTTTATTTCAAACAGTGTTCAAAATGTGGTATCCCATGACAAATCTTTTGAGGTGTCTCGACGTTTTTTCTTTTAATCAGCAGTTTTCGATAAATCCGTGGTAGGAGGTTTTTAAATGAACACCCTGTATACAGAAAAATCCATATACCACTGAAGACGTAATGAGTACGAAAAAGAAGCAAGAGACGCGTGCAATACGTACATAAGTTAAAAAGAGAATCACCACGTTGCCTAGCAACCCAACACTCTAACATACTTATTGAACGCCTCTCTCTCGTACACATGACCTCGTCAGCGATATTTGGATTTCTCTGTATGTATATATAACGTGCCTTATCATTTTCGTAAATACCTTGAATGCAATAAAACATGATCGGTCATTATACGTGATTATAAGTACGGCATTAAAATTGCGCCACTGCTATGTGTGTCTAAATAACTCACTAAAGGTTAATATATGTAAGGATACACCTATTTAATATTTAGGTGAAACCATGCATACATCGAAAAGATGACTAAAATTATCGCCACTTATCATTGGAAGTATAAACACTGAATGATTAATTTTACAAATTATGTATAATTATGGCAATAATAAATAAGTTTGGGATCAAGGATTATATGAGACCAATAAAAAATCATGTTAATATCCAATAACAATATTATCTTTTAAACACCCAACAGTGTAATGTGTATTTTCTTTATACTGGTATGTTAATATGTTTATAATAACAGTACTAATATTTAGGAGATTTATTGACAATTTTGACCAGGAAACCTAAAAAATAAGTGAAAAGGACGGTTTCCGTTAGCATTATCTCATAATATACTTGTGGATTTTCTTTATACTGATATTTTAATACGTTTATAATAATAGTGCTAATATTTAGGATATTTCCTAGACCGGAATCTAAAAAATAATTGGAACGCAAGGCTTTCATTGGCATTAACAAATAATTTTTATGCATATCTACCTTTTAAAGTAATGTGTTAAAAGCTGTTAAAAACGTACTGTTATTTCAAAATATGTGCTATTATAGCTAATACAAAAAATAGGGATAAGGCGAACCGACTATTCAGGAGACAAAAATGTTAGCGCAACTGTATAAATTGATCGACTGTATTCATGACAAACTTTTGTATGATTTACACGGTGTCCCATTTTGAACTTTCCACCTACATATTTCGAAAATTGCTCATTCTAGAAAAACTGTTTCAAACGAAAGTTGAAGAGTACCAACTGAGAAAATTGATGCTAACCGTGATAATGACCGTCACAACTTTCTTGGTTATTTCAAGGTCAAGCGATTATCTTCAAATCGAATGCCCTCTTTTTCACATCAGTATTGGAAAGCGGAGCAAGCTTTACGTCAGAACATCGCCTTGGCTATGACCTTGGCCATTGTCTTCACGACCATTTCAAGGTCAAATCACAACATCTAAAACAGTTTGTTCTGACAAATATGTTTCACAGCGCAGTTGTGAGTATCTGGTCATCACACAAAACATTTCATTTATATGCCGGAAGTCGAAAAAGCAGGAAATTTTACGTCCGAATGTGACCTCAAAGTCAAGGTCGAGTCAAGCTTAAATGTTATGTGACGTTAAGGTTACATTTGGATTTTTTTGTTTTTTCCATTATAAAAAGAGAGAATTCCTTTGAAAATTGTCCTTTGGATAATCTCCACAAACCCCACAACAATGTTTTTGCTAGAGTACATTGTTTTCGATGTCTTGATTTGGCCTAAAAATCACCTTGAAGGCAATGGTCAAGTCATGACCAAGGTGATGTGAAATTTGCTAATTTGTTTAATGGCAATGTAAAAAAAGAGACTTCCATTAGAAAATAACCACATGACCTTGAACGGACCTTCAAGGTCGTAGTCAAGGTCATTTTCAAGGTTAGCATTATTTTTGCCCTTCAGTGTTTACAACGTACAAGAGCAAGCTTTACGTCAGAACATCACCTTGGCCATTGTCTTCAAGATCATTTCAAGGTCAAATCAAAACATCGAAAACTAATTGTTCTAACAAACATGTTTGACAGCACAGTTGTGAGGTATGTAGAGATCACACGAAGGTGACCTTGGCTACGACCAAGACAATTACCTTAACGGTCAAAAAAAAGTTCAAAAGAAACCTCACTGGAAATCGAAAAGCAGGAAGTTTTACATCCGAATGTGACCACAAAGTCAAGGTCGTGTCAAGCTTTAATGTTATGTGACGTCAAGGTTCTCCGATAGCGCGAAATATTCATTAAATATTCATTCAATATTTAATAATATTTTCATCTCACTTAAGTATTTGTATTTATATCTTAAGCAAATATTTAATGAATATTTGGAGTAAAATATTTTAATTAAAGATTTATTCAATATCTTTTAAATACTTTGAATACAATATTTCTTATATAATATTCTTCAAATATTTATTTTTCAATCAATGAAAAATATTAAAACTCTATTATTTAGAAAATATTCATTAAATTTTTTCGGCTACGGCGCATGAGCGTGTGACCCCGAGCGACCAATGGCATAATGGCAAGCCGACGCGTTAGCCGGCATTCATTTTGCCTGTGAGTTTCACTATGATAGCGTGCTTCCTGTGTACCTCCAAGTGGTACATGTTTTTTTATTTAAGTTTTGCGATAATTGCATAGCTTAATTTATCTAAGTAGTGAACATTATTGTACCAATTGAGTATAAAGGTATTTGACCTTGGAAGGACCTTAAAGCTCAACGTCTTTTTCAAGGTCAGCATTAGTTTCCCCTCGAGTCTTTGCAAATTTTATTTGAAACTTTTTTGTAGAAATATTAAGTTGGGGAGCTTAAAGTGAGACACTATGTATAGCATGCTGTTTTTAGAAAACGGTTTCTCAATTTCACTCCTTCAAAAATAGGTACGTATATGAAGTTTCCACTTCTTGTATTTCGGCCATTTTGAGGCGTACTTCGTTGTTTCTCATTGCGTACATGCGATAATTTTCGATTCTGTAAGGTTTTCGAAAAAAAAATTGTGCTAATATTGTGATACTTTCTTACCTCCTGGAGGTTTCGGTGCAGTATAACTCTTCAATGGTATTTTGCTAGGTTTCCGTTTCCGTTCTTTTTCCGCATGGTCGTGGGCAGATTCGGTGCTACTGGAATGCTGATCCATCAGAGGCAAGGGGCTCATCGCTTTCATGCTAGCAGTGGTAATTTCAGACCTGGAAGTAATGTTTCTATCAAGCCACCTCCTTAGACCGCATCTATAAACTTTTCAATCAGTATTCAATGTGGTCCGTACCTTCAGTATTTACTGATCATTCCATGTCAGAGGCGCGGCAGATTAATATGAGGAGGGATAACAACTTGAGATAAAAGAAAAATGTCTACTTAAAGGCAAAGTTAATCCTACCCACGCCACTGTTCCTCTGTTGTTTCAAGCTGCTTGATGCCCTATCTAGCGGTGTTCAAGTGAAACTAACTGGATTGCATCAGCACCGTACCACCGTGCGAGGACGGTAACCTGTATGCGATTTTTAGGATACGCGCAACAGCGAGTATGTTTAGTAAACAACAACTTGAGAGGAAGTAAAAATGAGCGCCAACGAGACTCGAACCCGCATCTCCTATATTCCGTAGAGCTGAATACAAACTTTCAGGGTCGACTATTAGAGGCAAATTCAATCCTACTCAGGCCGCTGTTCTTCTGTGATTTCAAGTTATACCCCATCTGCAAGTACCAAATCAATCCGGTTTGTTTTACTTGAATGCCCAAGTATTCATTTTTCACGTAAAGTGACGTAAGGTTGGTTGTCTGGTTTGTTGACTGAGTAATACTTATGGGAAATGGGGCGTGGAGTATAAAAGGAAGGTAATGATTCTCACCTTGATAAAATTGGATGGTCACTAGTAGAAGACTCCGTAACTGGAATGATATCAGGGGACGCGGTAGTTTTGGTCGAAGTTTGATGTAGTTCTTCTAACAGTCGTAACCTCGCTCTCGTACCTTCCAATTCTATATTTTTATCTTCTAACTGGAATGAGAATTTCATTGTCAATACATTGAGAATGCTTTAAACTGTTACGACATGCAGTTTTTTATGATTTTGGAACTTACCTGGAATTTCAAGTCCTCATTCTCTTCCCTATATTTATTTAACTTATCCCTAAGACTGAGTTCCAAGTTCACAGCTGAATCAAGTTTCTCTTGTAGAACCTGTAACAAACGAAATATTTTCAGCATTCGTGCTCATATTACAACCATTTATTTGTGATCAACTATCACAAAGTTATTTCTAGAATTCTGGGACTGTGATTAATAGTATAAAAGTTAATGGGGTGCGATTATTTCCAGAAATATGGAAGAAAGCTATTGTTAAACCCTTACCAAAAATAGCAGAACCTAAAGAATTTACAGACTTGAGGCCTATTAGCATATTACCCGCTACATCCAAAATTTTAGAAAGGCATATTTATAATCAAATTAGGTTTTTTTGTGACACAAACGATATCATACCAGATAGTCAATCCGGTTTTAGAAAAAACTTTAGCACAAGTACATCATTAGTTAATATCTTGGATGATATCAGACATCATCAAGAACAAAAAAATAGTACGTGCATGGTTTTTCTCGACTTTAGTAAAGCGTTCGACACTCTGAATCATGAATGTTACTAGTTAAGTTACATTACCAGGGGTTTTCGCAGAACTCCGTAAATCTAATAAAAACATACTTAAGTAACCGTTCAAACTGTGTTATGTTAGCAAATGATTCTGCTATTTACAAAACCGATTTTAAACCTATAAAAAGAGGAGTTCCTCAAGGTTCAATTTTATCTCCTTTGCTATTTTCAATCTACATATCTGACATGGTCAAATCGGTAAAATTCGCAAAGATAAAACAATATGCAGATGACTCACAAATATATCTCCCTGTCAATAAAACCACAATCCATATTGCACAACAACAACTAAATTCAGATCTCCAAAGAATTGACACATTTGCAAAGCATCACAATCTTAAACTAAACCCCTCAAAATCGCAAGTAATGGTTATGAATAAAAACAGTATTGAAAGAGAACATTTTGAACAAAATTTAGTAATTTCTATTAACAATGACAGAATCCCCATAGTTCAGGAGACAAAAAATCTGGGCATTATATTTGATAGCTCGCTTGGCTTCGGCAGTCATATAAAAAACAGAACAAATTTAGCTTACATGCGACTAAAAAATATAAACAAATTAAAAAAACATTTATCAGCCAAACAAAAATATTATTTGTGTAATACCTTAATTTTATCACTTTTTGACTATGGAGATGTCGTCTATGGTGATTCGCTATCGTCGCGAACCAAAAAATGCATACAAAAAGTTCAAAATAGTTGCATGAGATTTGCATTTGGAATTCCATATCGAAACCATATCACTCCTTATCTGAATAACTACAACATATTAAACATGACGAATCGCAGAAAATATCACATGTATTCTTTTATCTATAGGGTTATAAAAACAGGTCAACCGCCCTATTTAAGAGAAAGATTTGTGCCTTTGCCTAGTGCCCAGAGAAGTAGAAATAATCTCAATTTTATCGTACCTAGACATAGAACGCGTTCCTTCCGAAAATCGTTTGCCTATGTGGCGGTTCACTTATGGAATAATTTACCAACTTCAGTTAAAAGCTCATCGTCAAAAACATTCTCAAAACTGACAAAAACGTTGTTACAGAATCACCAGCTACTTTAGCAGCGTTTGTGTGAGCAAAAATAACGTTTTTACATTCCTACTCGCTGACAAGTTGTATAGATTTGTTTTTCGCGTCCGTTGCCAGCTCCCGGGGGTTCTCTCTTCGTTTTTACCTTTGTTGTGCTTCACCGCCTCTTCATTTGCCTCTTTATTGTATTTGTTATTTTTTAAGAACTTTTAGGGTATTCAGGGCTTTCTCGCATGGACTCTTTGTATTAAAGGGTCCAATGTATCGGTTTTATAATCGAGGGACTGTCCTTTTTCGTCATTACTCTATATGTAGAATTTCTTTTGTTTATGATGTTTATTCATGACGAAATAAATATTTTGAATTTGAAATTGAATTTTGAATTTGAATATATTGCATATTATAAGTCTGAATATACAATTTTAAGATGAATTTCAGGAGTACATTATTCAATTTTTGCCATCTGCTCATAACATGTTTGTCTCTTGATAAATCTACATGCCATTGATTCTCTACTTAGCAATTGCTTAAAATATATGTAACATATTCGTCTTTCGTATTTTCTCCAGCTGCCTCATTTCTCTTGGAACTATAAGTTTACTGCACATTATTCTAGTAGTACAGGAAATATAACTTTAAATATTTCTATTTTCAGTTAGTTTCGTCAAACTTTATCACACGTTCTTGCTCTCAATTTTAGTTATGAATGTACCGTGGGCCTTATATCAGTGTGAGTTATTTGTTTAGGTTTCCAGAAAACTGATTCGGGAATGGATACTAATATTATTTATTTAACAGCAATGGCTTTAGCAACAGCTATAAAAGTACATACTAAGTAATGTTAAACCTATTTTTTTACGAACAATAATTCCAAATTATCAGGATCTAACACGCAATCCGTAATGAAACTATGGCACATTTACTTGATTGTTTCCGAGTATTGCCACATAATTAGCTTAAAAAATGGAATAACTCATTAGGAAGACAAAATGTCATATATTAAGAATTGTCATGCTTATTTATATTACTTTTACTTGAAACTATTTTTTTAATTCACTCTTTTTTTTATTTCAGTTGAGGAGTTAGAAGCAAATAAATTACTTGTTTATTTATTGGGTCATTATGGTTCCATGAATGTTTCCGGAACGACTCATAAATGAATAAGTTACCATCATATTCTTATCAGTGAGTATTCGGAATCTTCTGCTTGGAATTACAAAATTATACTATCTCTCTAAATGCTATTAAAAGGGAAATTCTACCATCGTTATTCATTGGTCACTGATAAGTATACGTTTTGCATTTAGAAATCCGCGAATGCACCCATTTCTCTTTGTTACCAATGCAAAATATGGAAAGCGTATATACGATTCGTGCTGAATAATACAGATGCTTGGTTTTATGGGATATGGCTGTGATGTATGATTTTGAAGTCCCATAAAAATGATAATACCTCAATTTTTCGCTAAAGCCAAAATCAAAAATGGTATAACTTTTCAGAAAAAGCGGTCTAAAATGTGTAACAATAAACTGATTTGGAAATATTACGAGTTTTAAATTTACTTCTTGTTAAACGCAACAGTCATAAAATTCGCGCAAATCATCGAGCACACAACCCGACATAACACGCTTAACACCAACGAAATGGAAATGTACTTATACAGCGGTGGTATACGATGATGTAACTATGCACTCATCATCTTTACAGACAAAAATTTCATAAGCTAAAGGTAATGGTCATGGTAATTTTTGTATGCTGCTCAAGTCTCATATAGTCATTTTTCAGATATTTTCAACTAAGAAACATATGAAATGAAATACTTAAGAAACCATCAAAATAAACAATAGAAATTTAAAAGTTGACAAAGTGGACAATATCAAATATTTAGGAATTTTTTTAGGCATTTGAGATGGGACATTCATGCAGCCTACATTTTGAAGAAAATAAGATTTGCTACATACAAAATTAAATTCCTCACAGGCATATTGATAGAAAATTATATGCGTACTAATTATCATGTCTTAATTGAGCCTCACCTAATGTATGGTACATTGGCCTGGGGTACAGCATGTCCGGCGTATTTGAACGACATAGAAGTTTTACAGAGAACTGTTTTAAAAAGTATGTTCTAAAAACGAAAATTATATTCTACAAATGATTTGTATAACCAAACAAAATTATTTGATATCAAGCAACTTTATTTTTTACACACTATCAGCCATTATCACAAGTTGTCACTGAGCGCGATGAAATCACACATTGCCATGATATTCGATATAAATTACGAGCAAAAGCTGTCACTAATTCTCATAAGACCATAATGACGCGATTTTTTCTCTAACTGGCTCCAAAATTATATGATCACGTACCCAAAGACTTAAAACAATTTCGAAATACACACAATTTCAAAAAGAAATTATCAAAATGGATATACGCAATGGGAAGACAACACATTATTGAATTAATATTGAATATTCGTTAAAAATTATCATCCTCTAAATATGCAAAACTTAAATAAATTTTTCTTTTAACTTTTTTGTTTTGATTTTGAAACACATTCCAACATATATCTGATCCATGTACTGTGGATTGAAACATTTATTTACCTATTATATGTTGTTATTGTTATTATACAGGGTGTCCCAGAAGTCGACGTCAAGCCGAAACCGGGTGATAGGCAAAGTCATAACAGCTATCAGAAAAATATTTAAAAAAAATTTATGTATGTGTTTTGATAATTATAGGTCTTTGAAAAAAATATAGACATTTCACACCCTACGGCAGTCTGTCAACTCCTGTTACTACAAATATTAACTTTTTTGGATTTTATTTTTACAATGTAATGATGAATAATGCATCTTCAAACTGGTGTCTCAACCTTACTGCCAACTTTTCTCGTTCAGGAAAAATTGCCACTTATTTCCCAACCAAGTATTCCAAAGTAAAACTTTGCTCAACTTTAACTGGCTGTACTGGAAAAAAAATGTACTACGAGAGTTGGCAAGTAACCTTAAAAGTTGGCGCATTTAATAAGGAATCCAAAATGGTATAACACTTAGAAGATTACTTGTTAACTTATGCACAATTTTTATTTGAAAAAAAACTGATGAAAATTTTTCAAAATTTCCTAATTAAACAGCGATTATGAAAACGCACAAGGACCCTTAAGGATAACTGTTTGCACAACAGTGGGCGTCAAAATGCTGCTGATGATGATTTACCTTTACAGCAAATGCTCAAACTGTTTTCCTTCAGCCGCAATACACGCTCGACATCTTCTTAAAAAAGATCGGGTTATTAAACGAGCGAATCCACGGTTATTAACAAACTCAGCTGCTTCCAATAGTCTTTGCCGTAGCTCAGCAATATTTTGAATCGGCTTGAAATACACTTTTTCTTTTACAGTTGCTCAGTAAAAAAAATCTAACGGATTCAAATCTGGTGACTGGGCTGGCCACGGTATTGTACCAGACCGCCCTATCCATTTGCCTGGAAAGTTT